GCTTCGATAACTATTAAGAGTACTAATCGTCACCGTTTTACGTTTTTCAACAGGAACGCCTCAAAGTCTGCTGACGTAAACTGTGTCAGCTCAATTTGTCCAGTCGAGTCAAAGTATGCTGCCATTTCGTTCTTTTTCGTCTCAACTATCCATTTTGATATCGATCTGAGGGCGCCACGATAAGCCTGCTGCGTTCTACCCGAGATGCACGCCTCACGAACATCTCGCGCTGTCACGTTATCATCGCCCACGGCGACACCATCTGCAGGTGAACCAGACACTTCATTCGACCCATCAACTCCATTTACTGGCACACGTTCACATTCAGATTCATCACTGCTCATATCCTTTCCAGTAGAGTCCGTCATGAATGGCCGAGCAGTACGTTCGAGCGCCGTCGCATCGCTACATAGTTAGCATTCATTAGCATCTCAAGAGCCGCACACAACAGCGACATTTAGCATCACACACCCTGTAACGACTGCTCTAATGCACTCTGATCCGGCCTCGCACGTATTATGAGCATTGGCACCGGCCCTGGCTGCAGCTACGATGGTCTTGCTGGTCTTGTTGGTCTTGGAGTGGGGCTTAGCCGTGGTGATACTGGTAGGAGAAGGAAGGGCGGCTTTGTTGCTCTCTGACTTGATAGATTTTGGCGAATTACACGCCACTGGTCATCCGTAGGAAAAATCGCCACCAAAAATGCCGCCACTCTTCGCTGTGTTGTGTGTATATAAATGATCAGATATTCCAGTGTGCAAATATTTGGATTGCGGATAGATGAGAGGCAACCTTTCCTACAATTGAATACAAATGGCAAGATATTATCTATAAAACAGCGAGAATTGCAAATCCTATATGGTCCACCCCCGCGAAAACGGGGTTTATCTTACGAAAATTGAAGCCCCTAGCTCTAACATATATTTTTACAGAATAGAACAGTCGGGCAAAAATTACTGACTCGGTTTGCGGCTCTTAGCTGGGATTGAGCATTAACCCGACATCATTACGATCTACAGAGACGCCATGATTTTTGCTTGTCGCCCACCCACGGTCGGCGTTAACGACGCGATGTCCCATTACATGAGATGATTGGCAGCAGTTGTGCCCGCTCGATGACATTTTGACTAAAGTGATGGCAGCTCGATGACATTTTGACTAAAGTGATGGCAGCTGGAGCCGCACTAAGTGTTTGTGACGAGGACGCCCGTGGTTGGACGATAATGTTCAGTGCCGCCCCAACAATAGTACACTATAAAGCTAATGAAAAACAATATTACAGATTTTCAAGTTTAAAATGCCATCATCTTTATTTTATTTGAATCAGCGCGAATAGACTGCAGTCCCGCGGACATTTTTCATGCGCTTGTCGACGAATTATATACTCTAAAGACTTCCTATCTCGAATGTGTCATCGCAGGACGTTACTTTGTAGCGTAACGCATGATTCTTAAATGTCGCCTCCGGTTTGCGCTCTTATGTTCATACGGTACGGTATATATTAGTGGATTGCTTACTCGGTTTTGCTAAACAGTACCAGTGACGATCAAGACGTGTAAACAGCGGGATGCGTATGCAAGGTAGAACGGAGAGGATGTGAGTTGCAAAAGTAACGGATGTAGGACGTTGAATATGTCCACGAATTAGCTAATCGGTGCTATCAGGTTCTAAACAGGTTGTAGAGTTATTACGTGACAGCTGGGCTCGTTGTCGTGTATGGCTAACCATTATACTGCATGTATGATGGTCACCATGTGTAGTACCGCTATCCGCGGGATAATCCCGTGGCTCCTGTGTAGTTACGCTTTGGAACTGTACTTAAGTGTATGTATTTGCTAAAAAAACTACATGTGTAGATTAGCCTTACTATACGTCGTCTACCATTCGCCTCCAAGAGGCCAAATAATCACTTTCCAATTTACCCGCTTCCTCTCAAGTGCTGCAAGTGCTCTATCGCTCTAATGCTAGCTCTTTCCAGGCTTCGCTGTACCCTCCTTCTTGTAACTCTCGCTTTCTTCACCAACGTGGTCACTAGCTCAGAGGCTATGGAGGTCAAGATACTGAGCGGAAACTCCGATCTGCTTGTTACATCTTCTGCTGATAATACCGGTAGTACCACGGCGAAGAGAGTGTTAAGTCAAGCCGTCAAAGCATCTCAGAAGAGCGCCAACTATCCCAGCAACGAATCGGGGTCTATTGCAGCGGAAGAACGAGGATGGTTTACCAAACTTTTCGGTAGAAAAAACCACCTCGAGAAAGCTTCGGAGTCAACCTTTACAACGCTTTTGGGCAACGCTGAAGCGAAACTGAAAGCGTTCGAGAGACTGGAAAGAAAATACGATGACGCAAGGAAGGCCTATATGGCTTTCGATGGCCTTAATTTGGATCCGCAAAGCTCCAAGTGGAAATTCTTCAAACAATTTGGTGATTGGTACGACAATAGACACTAGTCGTGGACTGAAAACATGGAGCCACCTCCTCCGTGCTCATTAGAGCTCTGTGGGATGATATTCAAGAATGTGAAAGAAGAACAGGAAGAAAATTTCGCTGTAGCATTTCATACATGCCGCTCTTGTTACCTCCCACCAGTTTTGCTGGTAGTTTTTAGTGCCCCATGGAAAGATGTCCTTGCATTTTTTTGTAATAGCACTACAGCTAAGAAAATAAATATTTGCGAAAACCCTAGCGCGCCATTTTAAATAACCACTACTGTATCTTCACCCGTAGGTTTTCGAATGCTAGCATGCGGTGCATTCAAGGAAACATGTCAAATCACAGTTTCAAACCCTAACATTCTTCAAATATTTATCCAGAATTGTTACCAGTCTGGCCCACTTTACATTTTTCTTTTGGACTAAAAACTAGTTTACATCCCAACCATTTCTTCCCATTCGCGAATCCCTACTAGTTTCATAAGAACTTTGGCCATCAAATATTGTTCTAATCTTTTCTACTCTTGTCGTTGAGCTTCGCGAATCGATTAACTTCTAGCTCCTGCTCGTTCTCGTTATCGTATACGCTACACTTACCACACCTTCGACTATCGCCAAGAAACTAAACAATCGAGCTCAGCCACACTGAATTGCATGGGTTCATTGGCCTTGCTTGTTGGAGTCACGTGCAGTGCAGCAAGGAGTGCAGGTGCAACTGACGGATACTAGGATCCTGTGCCTCCCGCTTGACCGCCTCCGCAGCGGCCAGCGCCCGTTCGGCCGCTCGCTCGCGCTCCTTGACAGTCGCACAGCTCTCACATTCCGCAGACGAAAAGCGGCCAGACGCGAGCACTTGCTCGTACTTGTCCTGTTCCAGATCTTTCACTTAGTGCAGTGCAACGGACGGATACGAGGAGTATAATACAACGGAGACGTCAAGGAAGGTCAGGAGAAGGTGTCCGTTCTTATGGGGCTGCGTCTGGAACACAAGCGTACTGTGGCCACTGGCCAGCCACTCCCAACTGATCGAGCGACTGGGACACAGCATGCGGGAGCTGGCAAACAGCAAGAGCCACAAGCAGCAGGCCTGGAAGGAGAAGGCTACGTTTGAGAAGATGTGCGTGGACGATCTATCGTGTCAGGCACAGCACCTGCTGTTTTGGAGACCTTGGTGGTCTTCAAGGACGTGGAGGAGCTGCAAGTGCGCAACCAGCAGCTGCCGGAATTGATCCGCGAGCTCTCGGAGATGAACGAGGCCAAGGTAGGCCCAGTGGGTGATGCTGAGTCGATGACCTCGTCGGCGCCTCTGATTATCACGGGCGACTCAGACGAAGAACGGAACCGAATTGGAGCCTCCAATGTGATCAAGAAGGGCTTGGCCATGGCTCGTAAGGAGATCCGAGAGCTGCGCATGGAGCGTGAACAGGAGCGCGACATGACCACTGCCATCGTGAAACAGCGTGACATGTACCCCATGTTGCTGGCGCAGTCGGACACTAAATGTTTGAACGACAGCGCTCCATCTAGAACGACTGGAGCTCAAGTGAATGCTGCACTGGTGGAGAGTGTAGCAGCTTGTTCTGCTCGGTGACGGCGTTCTTGGTCCCCAGTGCTTCGTCAAGCTGCAGCTGCGCCTCCTTCTCGGCAGAATGTACCTTGGCATGCTGCGCTTCAAGGTTGTTGCGGACCGGTTGGGGGCGCTGGGAGGCGCTGGACTTCACTCGCAACGCGACGCAGAGGAAACGATCTCTCAGGTGTCGGAAGCGGAGAAGACGTTGGCGGATTACAGGGCCAATTACATCGTGGTGGCTCTGAAAGACGAGATCCAAGGGCTCAACAGACAACTGAGCGGCATCAACGGCGTGGTCGGACAAGAGATCAGCCAGTTACGTATTTACTCCACCCGAAACGCTGAGACCGAGTTCCAACGCAGCGAATACCGCAAGAAACTAAAAAGTTTCCAGGCCAATCTACAGGAAAAGGTGGCGGACATTGAAGAGATCTTTGAAGGCGACGAGAAGCCAACAGACAGAGGTCGGGAATCCGATATGTCGACGATCTGATTGGCGAGCGCATGCGCTCGCTCGATACCAAGAGGAAGGAGCAGGCGTCAGCTGAGCAGCGTTTGATAGAGAACACAACGTCGTCTCAGCTCGCAGAGAAGGAGCTGAACGCCTTGCGTTTGAAGAAGAACCAGCTGGAGCGACAGCACGTGAGTGGGCTGAAGGAACTGCTATACAGAGTGATTCCTGGCCACGACTTGAAGAGTGCAGAGCTCGGAGTGAAGGAAGCGGAGCGCGCGTACGCTGACGCCAAAGACAAAGTCGTTCGTCGCAAGAATATGGTCCTGTTCCTCAATATTTACAAGAAGAAGGGGCTGAAAGACCACTGCTGTCCTGAGGATAATGTCACATGAGTCCCGAGGAAGAGCAGGCGTTCGAGAGCATCTTGAGCGATAAAACGGACGACGGAAAGGTGGCCGACAAGATCAAAAAGGCTGAAGACCTCGAGAAATCGTCACTGCAGACGCTGACCGAGCTCAAGGAGAAGATGCCAAGTTGGCTCGAGCTGGAGACTGCGATCCCTGAAAAAGTAAGCGAGTTGGAGGAGATTTACGCTGCTCAGAAGACTCTGGAGATCGATGTGCAAGACAAAAAAGCCGCGTTTGAGCTGGCACTCCCAGAGCGGCTTAATCCGACATGGAGACCCTGCGCAGATCTGCGGACGAGCTTGAGTATTCTGACGCGGAAATTACGAAAAAGGAGGCGAGTATGACAGGGTGTCGGGGAGAAAGTGGGCGGTCGTTGGCGGACGTGGAAGCGGAGAAAGATGCCATGCAGGCAAAAGTGCAGGAGCTGAACCACCAGCTCCAACGCAAGCAGAAAGAGCTCATCAACGAAATGCTGCAGCAATTGCAGAATGACGGAAGCGCTTGCTATCGATGCCGCGGCTGTTTCTCCAGTGCCAACAGCAGTCTCATACAACTACTGCTGCTAGTAATCGCTCCATACAAAATAATGGAGACTCCCATCTTTTTTCTTGCCTTTTCGTCACTTGTCTTGCTCGATAGCAAAGCTGGCCGGCAAGTCCGAGCTTGTATCTTTCCTGCCGCTTCAATCCAATAACAGTACTACGACTTTGACCGGCCAATGGCGGCCACTACCGTCACGAATCAGCAGCACAATACTGATGCAAAACAACAACTAACTTCGCCACTGCAACCGGCATACCCACTGCATCACGACGGTCGACTTCGACTTCATGGCCACTGGCGGTGGTGCGGCCGCTCTGCCTACGCCGTGGCAATCAATAGCAACAATCAGCGCTCAGCGCTCGACGCTCGACGCTCGCCATCGAAGAACGTAGCCGCCGTCTAGCAGATATCAACCGGCCACTAGCCACATCCATCAACATCACTACAGACCAGCGGAAACGACCGGAAAATGACCAACAAGTCGACAGCCACACCAGCGACCAGAAAACCCGCAGACTTTTCCACTCCAGACCAGCACACCATCAACGGGCCACCGCCCGGCCACACGACAGCTCCCACACGACAACTTGTCTTCCTTCGTACAACCAAGTGAGCGAGTACCGGCCCGTCCGACATACCGGCAGACCAACTGAAAGCCATGAAGTTCACCACACTCGCCGTCACCACGCTAGTCGCCGTCGCGTCCGCCGCGTTCGCCAACGACTACCAGCCGGCTCTCAGAGCTCTCGCCGTGCCCGAACCTGTCGCTCCTGTCGCTGCGGAGCACAACGTGCAGCAACCCGCCTCGCCCACTGCTTCTGTCGACGCTACCGGCAAGGAGGCCACGCATGCCGACAACAAAGACGGCGACGAGAAGAAGAAGAAGGAATGGGGCGGCGGCGGGTTCGGATGGGGAGGCCCGTGGGGAGGCTGCGGTAATTGGGGTCGCTGCGGCGGATGGGGTGGCTGGGGTGGCTTCGGCGGCTGGAAATGGTAGATAGAAGGTCACCACTACCGCGCTCACCTCTCACACAAAAGTATCGACCGGCCGGCCACTTGTGCCTGTCGACGGCAGCCGGAAGCGCTTGCTATCGATGCCGCGGCTGTCTATCCAGTGCCAACAGCAGTCTCATACAACTACCGCTGCTAGTAATCGCTCCATACAAAATAATTGAGACTCCCATCTTTTTTCTTGCCTTTTCGTCACTTGTCTTGCTCGATTGCAAAGCTGGCGGAAGGAGGAAAAGCTTCGACTTGAGACGCAGCGTAAGGAGTACGACGAGGCTGTCAAAGAGCAGAACAGGTTACGGGAGCAAGAGAATGCGTTGAAAGAAGCCTGTGCGAAGATGAAGAAGACGGAGCCCGAGGTGGGGCGCGTGGTTCGAGCGATATCTCCGCAACGCCAGACGAGACGAAAAGAGGCGAGCGAACAGCTACATGGCCAACGATCTGAGCTCCAACAACGCCAGGGAGACTTCCGCGTGTTCAGTGATAAATGCAAGCAAGGCCAGCATGGAGAGCTTGACAAACTGGAGCGCCAAGTCCAAGCGCTGAGTGATTCAATCGCCCAAACAAAGCAGCGAGAGGATACAGCAGTTCAGGCGTCGGCAGATCTGGTACCGCAGATGCAGAGTGCGCAGACGAATCTGAGTCCGAATGAGGTTGGAAAGCGCCAAATCCAAGACAATATCGACTACCGTGAGCTCCAAAAGCAGCTGGAGAAGATGCGCGCTGAGGTCGCAGATCTCCAGAATCATATCGGCAAGTTACCGTCGCTGGACGACGTGAACGATCGAGTTGAATCGGCGGATGCGGCGTTGAGCTCTGCGGAACACTCGGCCTCCGTGATGGTGGGAAAGAGACAACAGTTGCTGGAGGAACTTCGCGTGCAGAAGGCCAAGCTCCGTGTCCCGACTTTGAAGGACGTCGAAGAGAAGTACCGACACAAGTTGATCTAGTTCGAGACGACGCAGATGGCCGTGACCGACCTAGGTCGTTACTTCAAGGCGCTGGACGAGTCGTTGCTGCAGTATCACTCGAAGCAGGTGCAGGAGATCAACACGATGGCAGATCACGTACAAGGGGCAGGATATCGACACTATGGAGTTGGTAAGCGGACAGCAGGATGGCGCAGTGTCGAAAGCTGCTCGCTCATACAGCTACCGTGTCGTGATGAATAAGGCTGAAGCTACAATCGACGCTGCAGTGCGGAACAGAAAGTCCTCGCGGCTCTGGTGATCCGCTTGGCGCTAGCTGAGACCTTCTGCCTGAACTGTGGCATACTGGCGCTGGATGAGCCCACGACGAATCTCGACACGGAAAGCAAGCTCAGACTCGCGCAGGCGATCACAGAGTACGTTCGGCCACTCTATCCTGTTCGGTTAATTAACCTCTCCAGTGCAGCTCTCTTCCGTCTGCGTCTGAGTCGACGCTCTCAGCGATTCCAGCGCGCTCACTTTCTCCATCAGCTGGCGGCACTTGTCCTCCGCCGTGGAGTGATAGCGCCGGATGAACATCTGTAGCGCCTCCTTCTCCGCCAGTTGAGCCACAAGCGTGCTCTCGTCGTCTATGGTTCGTTCAGTAGACGGCTGGCCAACACTTTGGTGCTCTCGTTCGGCCTGTTGGCGCTTCAGAGCCTCGTTCTGGGCCTTCAACTGCGCTAACAAGCTGGCATTCTCCTCTTGAAGCGAGGTAATCTGCCTCTCGAGCTCTTTCTGCCGAGTCTCCGCAGCACGCGCGTCACTCTGAGCGTCTCGCAGCTGCTGCTCCACTTCTTCTAGCCGCATGGCCTTCTCGGACACCGAATCCATCGAGGAGCTGAACTTGGCGTACAGGATCTGGAGCTCTTGTTTGCGCTGGCTGCTCTTCTCCCTCTCCGTCTTCAACACTGTGATCATCTTGGCGTCTCTGGCTTTAAACGCCCGCTGCAGCTTCTCGATCTCCTCGCCCTCCTCCACTAGCTTCTTGTTCTGCTGCTTCAACGTCGCTTTCTCCGCTTCCACAGCCTCCATCTTGTTCTTCATCTGCGTCAACTCCTCCGTTCGTCTCTTCTTCTCGTCCTCTAGCGCTGCAACCTCCTGCTTTGACACGACTTGGTCCTCCTGAGCTTCTCTGAGCGACGACAGCTCCACCTCCTTCTCTCTCTCGACCGCCCGCTTCTGCGCCAACTGCGTCTCCAACTCGACTACTCGATCGGCCATCAGCTGCCTCTCCATGGCCTCAAACGCCTCCGTCTCTTGCCTCTCCCTGCTGCTCTTCGCTAGACACGAGGCAGTGTCCTCCTGGAGCCACGAGGCCCATTCCAACCGCGTCTGTGTATTCTCTGCATCACTCCGGAGTGTATCCATCTCCACACTCGTCACGAGGTCTCTGACCACGCTCTGTACCTGCTGCGTCGCCGCCTTCTCCGTCTTAGTCTCCAGCTTCCTGTTTAAAGCGATAAATCGCGTCTTCCAGCGCTCGCAGCTCTGCAAGAAGCTGTCGATCTCCTTAGTAGTCTGCTTGGAATAGCCTGCTGTAGAGTTTATCTCCTTAGACGCTCTAGGTCGTGCGCTGGCGTCTTGCAGCTTTTGCTCGAGCTCGAGACGCTGTGTGTCCATCTCCTGCTGCTTCTGGCGGTACAGTCGTGCCAAGTCGTCTTCCAAGTCCCGTAAGCTACGCTGCGTGTGGGCCAGTCGCTCGGAAAGCGCCGTTTTGCTCTTCTCGAGGGCGTCGCGGTCCGCCAGGAGCTGGCGGTTCTCATCGCGCAGCAGTTGCGTCGCGATACGGAGCGTGTCGTCGCACACTCCGTCGCGTGATGAAGAGGGGGACAGACGAGGCTTCTTCTGGTCGCTAGACAAGTCACTTGGCGGGGTGCGTGGCCGCTTGGGCGAGGGCGCATGGGGCGAGGGCGCATGGGGCGACTTGGAGTGCTTCATTTTGGCGCGCATAGAATAAATTTAAAAAAATGGAGAGATTTTTTGTCAGCTGGGCGCTATGAAATATGGATGAATATCATACATAATTTTATCATCATTTAAGTATAGGAAAATGGCAGCATGTGCGCCTTTTGACCAATGACATTCATCTATGTATCTAATCTACCAATAATATCCACTAGGGGTAGGTTTACAGGCTACCGACATTGTAATGTAGGCACGGAGGGCAGAATATGCAGCGGCTCAATACGAGCCACTAGTTCAGTCCACATCACTGGCATATTTGCGCTCTTACCGACAAAACACTAGAAACGAGTATGAGCCTTCAAGACCTCGCACCTGCCAACTCCCAGCGCGCTCGCCAAACAGCTATCAACGCATTTGGCCGGTTCATCGCTGCGGAAGGAGTCACCATGGACTTCGTCGCAGCCTCCCTCCTTGGAGACGAAAGCGGAGCGGTGTTTGTGAAGCTCATGGATCGCTTTGGTGTTCATCTAGCCTTTATGGAGGGACGAGGAGGGAAGCCGCTGGCTAGGAACTCTGTCATGAGCTATTACCGTCACGTGAAGAACTGGCTGCTCGACACCTACCCGAAGCACCGCACGGCCATCGAACAGAAGCTTCTCAAGATGGGCCAGACGCTCGAGCGCCACTGCCTTAAGAGAGTCGAAGGTGGAATGGTCAAGAAGGCACCTGCGTGTACGAAGGAGGACTTGCGTATTCTGATGGATAGACTCTACTATGACGCCGCCAGTTTCAAGGACTACCAAGACGTGGCCTTGCTTGCACTGATGTGGTATGCGTTTGGTCGTGCCTCCGACCTTGGGTTCGTGGTCAAGGGCAATCTTTCTGTTAGTGCCGATGGTGTGGTGTTCGTTAGGCTCATCCGGGAGAAAACAGCAGAAGAACAAGGGATTTCACTTTTCCCCGACAGGGACAGCTTCATAACGTGCCCTCTCCATGCTATCGCAATGGCACTGGTAATGCAAGATTCCCCGTGCGCCCAACTACTCGACCATCCTCATCTTGCGGCAGGGAGCGAGGAGAGTGTGGCAGCACCTGTCGACATCCCACTAGCTGAAGCCCTTGTGCTTTGCGACGACGACGACGTTCCAGCTGAACCTCCTCAAAAAACGCGAAAGGTACCTGTGGATAACATGAAGATCCATGCCTACGTGAATCGCGTTGTCAAGTCTGCATCGGCTGTTCAAACCAAAGCGAGCCCCACTGGGAATTTGACGTCTCATTCGTTTCGGCGTGGTGGAGCCCAACATGCCAACAGCGACCCACTACTCAGTGCACAATGGATTTTCGACAGAGGGTCGTGGAACATGACGGCAAAAAACAAAGCGTTCGCATACGTATTCAACACAACAAGTGAAGACCAGAAGGTAGCTCGAGTACCCAGCGGGTTGGACTCCAGCAAAAAGCCACCGGTACCCACACTTTCATGGTTTGACTTCGCGAGCCGAGAGCAAGCGCTGGAATTAGGAAATCTGTTATTTCAGACTAGCATCAACACCCAAGATCCAGCGAAAAACTCGACGGGCGTGTGGCTGAAGTCCTGGTGGCGTCGTTGATCCAACATTTCCCTGAAGTACTCGAGAGCTATCCGATGTGCCTGTACGCCACCAGAATGCGGGAATGCTTAATGGCGGATGGATTGTCCAGGGCTCAGATGCTAGCGTGGAGCTCGGAACTGCAAGGGAAGGTTACGCGGAAGGATCTCGTTGAGAGCGAGGTGGACGAAGAGAAGCTAACAAGAGAGGAGAAGCTTATCAACCATCAGAATCGCATTATTGGCGAGCTGATAGCGATGAACCGCTCATTAGCCGACCGAGTCAGCCTACTCGAGCGTGGTGTCAGTCAGGCGGTAGCGTCCTCATCTCCGTCGTCTAATGCAGCTCAGGTAGGTGCGGATAGCTCGGAGAGTCCTGCCAAGTCCAAGACATGTGGAAGCAAGGCGCTTCCTAAGGGACCTGCAGCTATTTGGTTTGAGTGGTATGCGAAGACCCCAAGACTGTGGGATGTGTGCGGAGATCGGCAGAGAAAGTCTGCCTACAAGCAAACCGTGAACTACATGAAGCTGTTCTTGCCAAACGGATTTCATCTGGACCCGTCCACATCGACGTACTGCGACCAAGTCCTTCGTGTTGGACAAGAAGCAGAGGCAAACTTGCTCAGCTTTTTTCAAGAGCAAGGCACTAAGCGCAAGAGTGGGTCTTCCGCCCTCAAGCAGCTGCGGAAGTACTACAATGAAGGCAAGCTGAACAAGCTGATAGAAGCATATCGGGCTCGTGTTGCGACGGAAGGGATCACTGATCCAGCTCTACGCGAAGCGCATGATCTTTTTTCACTCAAGTAGATTACTCAGGCTAATACCAGCTACACAAACGACTTAAAGAGACATACAAACAAACTCACATTTTCACGTGTTGTTTTATATTAAATTACCGTGAAGTTGCCCAAATTTAATTATTATTATTATAAATCAAACTGACAATGTGTTTTTAAATTTAAAACTTGAATTTTGGAGAAGGATTAAAGTAAAAGAAAATTTATTTTGATTGATTACTTGGCTCGATGGCATAAACACCATCAACCTCGGCAAAGAAATGTCGCAATCCCTCCTCAGTGCTTGCCTTGTAGACGAATTCATCGGAGTCGATGAAGTAGTGTTTGTCACGAACTAAAGCTCGCGCAATACAGTGCCACGTCCCTTTCTTCTGACCCATTGCTCTACCAATGATCATGAGATGCTTGTAGTTGGAGCGGGCCACCTTCTTAAACCACTGCTTCTTGCTACAATTGAAAGTCGCCATGTTGTTGAGGTACCTCAGTTGATATCCCTTGGCTCGAAGTGCTTCGTGCAGCGCCGCCGTAGAAAAGGCACCGTACTTGTCGTTACCGTGAGGTTCAAGGCCCTCACTTTCGCCTGATTTTTCGTTCAAACGACGCACAATTGGCGTCATTGTCTCAACCGACAACATATCGCGGTGTTGAAGAGCATTGTTGACCGAATATAATCCGCACAGCGAGTATCGAACCGAAGTTCCGCTCTGATTCTGACACATTGGACCACCTCTTGTCCGTCTCAAATTGTTGGATTGCATCTCCGTCCTGATTATCTAGCAAATCGCCGGATCCGGAGAGAAACGCGCACCGAAAGACTCCCAACTTCTACTTCACACTGACTTTCCCGCAAAACGGTCGCTAGCAGAACGCTGGCTAAAGGGAGTGCAAAAGTAGAAGTGAGTTGGGGGAGCGTTGGCGCAGGCAAACTTCCTGCTAGCCATTCATGCTAAAAGCGTAAGAAACCATGTAGTTATGCGACCTAGCCTAGATGTCTCTGTGTAGTAGCGTTACCATGTGAGAATTGCATTAGCTTCTAGCGTTTCAAGCATTAGCGTAATGCAGTTTACTGCAATTGATTTGCTCTACACATCATTGATTGCCCAGCAGCTGTGAAAGCAACCGACTGCCTTTTTTCTCAGGATTTGTTTTTCACCACTTGGTTCAATAGACAGTACTACATTGTGTATTATTAACTGTAAATAGTCCTTTTAGTAATACTGGGCGAGTACAGTATTCACGAGTGTGGTACTGTATTATCGTTTTTGCATGTGATTTGAAGCTAAAATACAGTCAGTGCCTGCCAGCTGGGATAATAGTTGCGAAAAGCAAACTATGAAAAAAAAGCATTATGTCAAAAAAAAATGGAAGTTGCATTGTTAAATAAATGCTGCCACTTGGATGCATGAAGTAGTAGCCTCCTAGCTCTCTCAAGAGACGAGAAGTTAGCATCATATTACCCAACGCTACATGGAGTAGGCTGTGAGGTGCAGCCTTTGCACAACATTAATTATGATATGCTGCATATATTATTTTATTTACTTTGTTCGCAGCGAACTTCGCTTGGCGTACAACCAGTGTTGCACTGCGCAAGTTTCCTACACCTTCCGTGTCAATCTATTCACTTAAATCAATCAGTTTTCTTACATTTTCGACCAATCATGTCTTGTCGGCACAGTCGGCCAGGTGTCAGCAATTTTATGGTATGGATGAATATACACGTCTTTCCGACAGACACAAAGGCAAGATTGTGAATATGTGATTAATATCCAATCATATACTACAATGTACCTTAATTCAGCCAATTAGGTCGCACAGGAGCAGGCTCTTCATTCCGACACTTTCTGACAAATATTTGTCGGAAGCTAGAGCTAACTATTTTGAAACCAATACTGAATTTAAGTCGTGTAAGATATATGTCAATATTTTTGTAGTTCCGACAATGCGGTATACCTCCTACTTTAGGTTAAAATTGAGCAGTGTTAAGGTACACTCAACCAGCCAAGTCCAGTTAACAAAAAGCAGAAAAGACAAGCAGCAACCAGCATGAGCCTCTCCGCACTTATCCCTACAAACACGCAAAAAGCGCGTACTACCGGAATAGGCGCGATCGAGCGTATGCTTAAAGTCGAGGATGTATCCATGGACGTTGTCCGAGCATGCATTTTCAGTGACAGCTCTGGAAAGAGCTTAGCGGCCGTGATGGATCGTTACGGCTACTATCTCGCCACATGCGAAGGTAAGAAAGGTAAGTTGGCGCCCAACACCGCCATTTCTTACTTTAGAAACGTGAAGCTTTGGTTTTTCGATGAGTATCCTCATCTTAGAGTACCAACCGAGCTAATTTTGCTTAAACAAGGGAAGACTCTCGAAAAACACTGCTTAAAACGTGATAATGGAGGATTTACTAACAAGGCGCCACCTTGTACAAAGGCGGATTTGCGCTCACTAATATGCTATGTGTACAAAACAGCATCCGTCGCCTCGGATTACGAAGATGCAGCGCTTGCGTGCCTTATGTGGCATTGCTCCGGCCGTTCATCAGATCTCGGCTACGTCACAAAGCAGCACATTACAATGTCAGCTGACAACGTATTCTACATTCGGATGCTACGAATAAAAACAGCTGAGGAGCAAGGCCTCACGCTCGTACCTGATCGGGCGGATTTGGTGACCTGCCCGCTGCACACGCTCGCAGTAGCCTTGGTGATGCAGGAGTCGCCTTGTGTGTCCCTGCTAAGCCAGTTTCCTTCTCTTGTGACACCGTCTGCACCATCACTTGATGCAGCAGCACCCCTTCTCGATGTACTACGAGTACCTTCGGTCAATGCTGCCACCTCTTCGCAGCTTCCTGCAGCAGGGATGACTGACCCGGCGGCTGCCACTCTGCGAAGCGTCCCGAGCTCCGCTGCAGCCAACCCTTCAGCGACCAACCAAGCTCGCGGTGACGACGGGGTTCAAGCGTATGTGAACCGGTTCCTGAAGCGGGTGTCGGAGCCGGCAGGAGCCTCAGCCAACTTGACCTCGCACTCCTTCAGGCGGGGCGGGGCGCAGCATGCAAACGGAGACGAGCGGCTGGCTGCACAGTGGATCTTTGATCGTGGGTCATAAGACATGACGCGCACCAACCGCTTAGGAAACTACGTATTCAACACGCCACGCGAGGACCGTAAAGTAGCACGGGTCTTGAGCGGGTGGGCTGCGGACGAGGCACCGATGATTCTTGATGTTGCCATTCTCGACCATGGGGCTCAGGAGCGCATGACCCGGTTGCAGGAGTTGCTGTTCGCTTCCTGTGTAGGGCTGAAGAACAACAAGCTAAACGTGAGTCGCAAGGTAATTGGGGTCCTTACCGCCTACCTAATTAGGCATTTCCCGGAAGTGAAGACTCTCGAACCCAGGAGCTTGTTCGTTGTTCGAGTGGAAGAATGCTTGGAAGCAGCTGACATCTCCCACACCGACTTGCTGGCGTGGTCGGTCGCGCTGAGCCATGTCGCCTCCAAACCTGCTCAACAAAGGAAGGACACTGAAAAGAACGGCTGCAATCGAACGGAGTGTCATCACGCTGCTGTCATTAATGAGCTTATCGAAAGCAATAGGCTGTTGTCTGCACGCCTGCTGGTGCTAGAGGCTGCCATCCTTAAGCGACCTGCGCACGAAGAGCCAGCCCAAGCTACAGAACAGGAGCAAGTTTCGTCAGCTCAAACACCTGCAGCGAAACGCAGAAAGAAAGCGACTACCAACCTGTCATCGATCTGGTTCGAGTGGTACACACGGCAGCCTCGCGTCTGGAGCTCTAACGACCGACAAAAGAAGTCAGATTACCGCTTGATCGTCGCGTACATGAAGCTTTTCCTGGAGGGCGGGTTCCAGCTTCACGAGAGATCGGAGGACTTCAAGGATCGCGCTCTCGAGGTCGGCCAACGTGCAGAATCGGCGGTCCTCGGCTTCCTGAGTGGACAAGGGATCCGAGCAAAGGGCAGCGGTAGCGTACTGCGTGAGATGCGCAAACTTCATCGCTTAGGAGCCCTCGACGGCCGTATACACGACGTACCGTACACACCTCACCTCAAACAAAATTGCTGATCCTGCGCCTTCATCAACTAAAGACATACTTCAATTCGTAGGACATGTGTAAGACAAGTGAGTAGATGTTAATGAATTGCAACTCTTCGCAAATATCATAAGCCGACAGCAGGATATTGGACCCCCCACTCGTTACCATCCGAGCGCTGCACCAGCAGTGCCGGCGATATTCGTGTGCGCAATGGCATACTGTGCTCTGGACTGGTCCTTTGCTACGGGAGATCTGCTGGGGTGGCTCTGGAAAAAGAAGACTGAGACCACAAGGCCCCTGTCGGTAATTTGTGGCGCTGCATGATTGGCTAAGTAAAAAACCTAGGCAAGGTTTAATAGGTGACGTTGCTTTATTGGCTGAGCAAAAAACCTAAATGAGGTTAATCCAAATGACTGGCCTACGACAATGATGTCACTATTTTTGGCTTAAGTGTCATTATTTTAAAATATCCTCTAATAGTGGCCCCTCACCCTGGCTTCGGGTCTCATTCATGAATTTGCTGGCTGTTGAGCACAGTGCTGTGAAGCCTATAATGCCCCTAAACAAAAAAATGAGTTTTCTCGGCCTACAGGCCTCTTTAGAGCATTTTCTTGCGCCTTCGAACTCCCTTTCCAAAGCTGACTGGGATGGTCGTACTTATAAAAGCGACCGTACTTAGTGTAAGCAAACATAATCTGAGTACACCGTCATGATCTGATTGGCGGATCCGAGCTGTCGGAAACATGTCGGAAAGGGGTAGGGTGTCGGAACGGTTGCGATATGGTAGACATGACAGAAGTTAGAGAAAAACAAAAAGCGGAAACTTTTCAGCAAAAAAGTAAAAAAAAGAATTTATTAGGCGGAGGCAACCTATAAATAAAAGGTTTCTTTGTCTTGAGCTAGAATCCACTTAACCTCGATTGAAAGAAGAAAATTGTATGAGAGACTCATGGCAAAAAATGGAAAATTGCCACAATTCGGCATTTCTAACTAAACTTGTGCAAAACCCCGTACTTTCTCAGAATCGTGCAGGTTAAATATCCTGCACGATTATAAAATTATGGTCCGGCAAGGATTTACGTTTAGTTTTTGTTTTACTTACAGTTAACTACCGGTGGGTTAACTCTTTTAAAAGCACGACTTGTGGAGGTCTGTGAAAACCTTTTAGAACTCGAGCACCAGAAGCCAGTCGTCGTCGATGCTGCCGCCCGAAGGAGGAGTGAAGTCAATGTGCGTGGCGTTGCCTCTCTCCAGAACACTAATCGCAGCATCCGCATAGTACTGGCCGTCACGAGGGGAGAACCACCGAGCAGTGCCGAAACGAGCACCAGATCCGTTGTCCAGCTGCAGCGCGAACGAGTCTCCGTGACCCGTGTACACGTAGTAGCGGTCCCGGTTCTTCGTAGCCAGCACGGAGATGTAGCGCGTGCCCTCGTAGGTGTTGACCGACTTGCCCGTGTGGCTGCTGGGACTGGCCAGAACCTCACGAGCAGGCTCCAGCGTTTCAAGAACAGCAATGGTCAAGTTCTGCAGGGGTTTGGTGACGTACTGGGCCTAGGTAGCGCCCTCAAAGTAAATGTCTTGGCGCCACGAACCCGACGCGTTCTGGTTTATCTGCGCCGGATACCAATCGTTGTCCCGAAGCAGGGCCGAGCGAGGCTCGTACATCTGCCACACACTGTTGGCACCGTACGTAAACCCACAGGCACCGCCGTACACACCATGGTACAGACCCGTTCGAATTTGAGAGGAATTCCAGATCTGACGCTCCAAGTTGAAGCTGTCGTGAGCTCCTTCGTAGTGGTTTTCCAGGTCAATCACAGGCCCAGTGGAGCGGTCTCTCATGTTGGCAATCAGGTCGTAGTTCTTGGTCGAATCCCAGCCAATAGTAGGCGTGAACTTAGAGGTCGGGTCTGGTGTAGCATGACCGGATTGCACAGCATCAATAGACATGCGGTCTTGTTCGTTAGGCAACACGTTGTGTCCATAGGCCTCCGGGGTGACTTCAGGCTTCACGATCCAGCCAGCCGCTGGGTGGTAGATCACGACCGACTCGTAGCCTTGCGCACGCTCGGCTTCCTTTAGACCACGGTTCATGCTCGCCCATACGGCTGAGGTGTCTTCGATCGGGGCCAGGAGAGAGGGTAAGTCCTGGTCCGGGTCTTCTGCGTACGCAGCCTGGACCTCCGATATGTTCCAGGACCACATGACGTTAGAGTCTCCGCCCAGAAGTTTCGGTAGACCAGGGTAACGTTCTCCAATGTACTTGCCCCAGTCGTACGCGTTCGATTCGTTGAAAATAGGGGTGGTACTGTGCCAGCCTCCGTTTACATACATGCCCCACGTAGGCACCAAGGCCATGAGAATGCCGTAGCTTGCAGCTAAGTCGACAGTCCAGTCCACCAATTCGAAGTACGCATCGTTCGGCTGAGTTGGGTCAGAGTTGCTAAACGGGAGGTCGCCGTAGAAGTTCGAGCGCGTGGTACCATTCAGTTCGGATACCAGAACGGTCTGGACGACGTTGTAGCCTTGTTCGGCTCGAGTTTTTAGGTAAAATCCAATGGACGTCTTGTTGAGACGATGCACAAGTTTCCACGCGGTGTCCGCTTGCCAGAAGAAGGGTTCTTCGGAGACGGTGCGTGTGAGATAGCGTCCGTATCGCGGTACGGTGATGGCGAGGTTGTGCCACGATGGCTCTGCTGAGGTGATGCCGGCTACACCAGCCAAAGAGAGCAGACCGGCAATTGCAGCTTCGGTCTTCATCGCAGTTGTGAGAATTAGACAATGTAGCAAGGGGAGAGGACTTTTCGCCGCTGATTGAAAAATAAGGCGATTGTCGGAGGCTGCACACACATATCGCTCAAAGCACGTGAATTCACGGTAGTACTTCAAGTACATGTACATGTAATGCACGGCACTGTACTACTTTTTGAAGTAGTACCACGCCGTTGGGTAAATTTTGTTCCCGCTTCAAGTTCAGGGACCCATTCAATTTTTGAAATTCAAAGGGGGGAACCTTTGTCAAAGGTTCCTGCAAGTTAGTTATCTGTTTCCGGCTTTTATCGCAACGTTAGCGAAGTCTTATTACATGTAATTCATCGTGCAGAACATGTAGCAACATTAAGCTTCAATTCGTACTTACTCGAATGCTAAAAAAAAAACTTGGATTTAGGAAGGACGGATGTCATGGCCAGCAAATCTCCAACCGTGCTCGCTCAGCACACAGATCTTAAATTGTAGGCTAAGTCCCAAATCAGTCTCTCACTCCCCTCCTTTTGTTAACGTTGCAGGACACGCTTCTGTCAAAGGGACATTTCGTGCATTTCCTTCATCTGTCATCTGTCAGATGGAGGAAATGCACGAATGTCATCTGTCAGATGTAGGAAATGCACGAATGTCCTTTGACAGCAGGCCCCGATCTTTGAAGAAGGCTCAATTCAACCAGCTGTGGTCCTTACCACTCTGTATTCCGCAATGCGTGGACACGGCTGACCTTGTAGCTCTCGCGTGGTGGTTGAAGACAACATGGCCGTCGGCACTTTGCCAAGTTTGCACGGTGCAATGCAGCGCACCTCACATTACAGTTACCGACGGACGGGACATGCCCTCTTGAGCTGAGAACTTTGCGACATATACTTAAAAACAATATTTAAATTCTTGAGACTCTTTTCATTAATAATTTTAAGACAAGAGTCTCAAGATTAGTTTTTATAGGGGTAAAACCCAATCAACAGATCGCTGTAACGTACAGACTGTAGCAGTACAGTACTGCACCCCGTTTTTGTGCCCTTGGACCTTTAATAAATTTCCGGATGTGATGATTCTAAATACAAATAAACTATTTGTTGCTAAATTCTGATTTATTTTCAAATCCTATATGGTCCACCCCCGCGAAAACGGGGTGCAGTACTGTACTTTAAGACATGTACAGTACTGTACGCGCATTTCGCGTCGAGTACTGTACTGTACGCGCATTTCGCGTCGAGTACTGTACTGTACTGTACACTGGGTGGAATCAACAAAAAGATGATGGCAAAGCACCATGCTTTCGTAATCGGAGCTTTTGCCCAGTTTTTAACCGAGCCAACATGGTGTTCACTATTCATACATACAATACTGCACCCCGTTTTCGCGCCCTTGGACCTATGATAAACTTCCAAAAGTGATGATCCTAAATCCAAATAAACTCAAATTGGTATGCTAAAAAATAATTTATTTGTATATCCTATATGGTCCACCCCCGCAAAAACGGGGTGCAGTACTGTACATGTATTTATATATGTACTGTTACTCTGTCTTTCAGCGCATAAAAATTCAATACAGTATAGAGCAACATACGTATTTAGTGAAAAAGGCACATGTACTGATGCAGTAGGCTATCAGGTTCTGATCAGGGGCTGCTAGTATTTTCAAAAGTAGTAAAGTTGGGTAATACTATTATCACTTTATTTTTGGTATGACTAATATTAATACCGAGGTGTACGGTATTCACTTTGGGTATAAGTATTACTCTCTCCACGCAGTTGGATATTAGCCTTACAGTACTACTTCCAGGTACCCTGATCGAGCAAGGCCAGCCCTCATTTGGCAATTTAAAATCGTGCGGCTTCCCTCCACCACTCTCAATTTGTTTCATCGGCATACCTGAACTCGAGCTGTCGGACAACGGAAAATGGGGTGCGTGGTAGCGGGCTGCCAGGAAGGCGACGAGTTAAGGACGGAGCCGTGTACTGTGTGCGAAAAACTGGTCCATCACATGTGCGCTATTGGTGTTTATGAAGGGGCTGACTCCGCGCTGAATGAGAGGTAGCTGTCCCTTATTTATTGTCACGGCACGCTAATGAGCACGTATTTACTATCAATACAGGTTCTGTAGTAAATCCTGCGTGCAAGTCGTGCTTACAACCGTGTCTTCAAATGCCCCTCCCAATTATTCCACTGCGAAGCGAATGGGTCCATCTGTCCAGTCCACCAACATTTGGGTTGGATTAGACTTAGACTTCGTACTCTCGCCGGACATACCCGATGATACAGCGGTTCATCGAGCAGGAAAGCGACGGATGACTACAAATACTACCGCTACCACGTCAGCTTCCAGTGGAAAGATGAAGGCCGCTCCAGCTAAGTCTGGAAAGAAGCATCTGGAGACGCCTCTCGCGTTGCAGCTTGCACCTCCAGTGTCGGACCTTGGCGTACCACTCTCGATTACCCATGCACGAAAGGAAGGCGCATTGGATGATGTTTGGGATCTGATTCATACACTGAACACTCCACACAAGAAGCAAAATCCCTGGAAGCAGTCGAGAGGACTGTATCGGAATATTTGTGTGCTGTGCTGTCTACAAATCAAAGCTCGGACCAAGATAAACAAGTACAGTTGGGAAGATGCTCTTCGGAATACTAAGAACACAAGCAACGCGAAGGATCACATCAAATCGAAGCATGCCGATCACCGATTGACAATTCTGGCGGAGACATGTGCTACCGAGAGATCGAAGACGGACGTCGAGACCGCAGAAGCCGATGCCCAGTCCGTATTGGACCTGACACGAGATCCGGAAAGTGCTGCTACTACTGAGACTTCGACGGGTACCGCTCCTACTGAAGATGGTGACATTGTAAAGGCCCCCCCCATCCAAAAGGTTCTTTTGCGCAGACGAGAAGACAGTGAACGACTTAATTTCCAAGTTTCTACTTTCACAGGGTTTACCGTACACTATTTGCGCGTCTGAGACTTTCAAAGACGTCATCCGAATGGTTACCGGTAATCCCTCCTTTCAGGTATTGGGTCGAGACAGACATGATCAGCTTCTCAATGGCCAATTCCAGTTGTTTTGTGACTTATTGGGGACACTACTATCTACCGAGTTTGTGAATGCAAGTCAGGCTGAAGTTCCTTAATTTGATGCACGACATTTATGGGAAGGGGAGTATCGTAGGTGCATCTGTCGCTTTCATCGACAGCTCATGGAGGTTTCGGTTCATTGCAGCACTCGCCCGTGTTAAGAATGATGGCCACAATGCTGCTAGCGTCGCAAAAGTTATTGAAAGTGCTCTCAAAACAAGGTACAACATCGACATTCGCAGTATGACTCGATTCACAATGTCCGACACTACTCCTTCAGCAAAAAATGTGGCTGACCACATTGATACGGAACAGGAGAGCTGTTCCATGCATCTTCGTAACCTGTGCATTGGCTATGGCATTGGACTTAAGGATAATATTTAGACGGTGACTGTGTGAAATGACGCGACGAGTTCCTGGGATAAAGTAGTTACGACGGTAACTCCGGGGGGAGCTCTAGACGAGGGTGGCAACGTGATTAAAAAACTCCGTAATCTGAACAATTAATTCAGATCGCCTAAACAGCGTGTGGCACTGAAGAACATCCAATCGGCTCTTTCATTTCCTAAACTTGACCCTCTGACGGACGTGGACATCCGAGTTGCCTACACGTGCAAACTGATTCGGAGATCAGTAGTAAACTACTCGGCATTTGAAGCTTACTTTAAATCTACCAAAGACTCAAGCAGCGTGTGGACAGCCCCGAGCGCACAGGACTGGATACTGGCAGTGGAAATGGAGGCGGTTACCCACTGTATCGCCAATTGCGCTGGTAGAAGCTCAGAGTGAACAGCTAGTGTCGCCTTACATGGTAGTGCTCCGACGGCTTGCGGAGAACAAACTCAAATCCTTCAAATTCAAAGTAATGGCTGTAGAGGCTCCAAGGGCTACAGATGCAAGCGAATCCAGCCACCGTCGCGTTGTGAGGACGCTAGATCAATTTTTTGATGATGGCAAGACATGCCTCAGAAGAACGTTGCTCCAGTTGCAGGCGCGCTTCCCCAAGGTGACAAAGTATATTATGACATGCATTTTACTCGACCCTCGAACCAAGTCTAGCGCCAAAAAATTGCTGCTGTAGGAGATATTCCTCGCAAAGAGGAGAAGGCCATCTACAAGAACGGAATTAAATTTCTGCGCGCAGAACATCGGACGGTATTTGCTCGAATGGTCAAAGAGGATAAAATATCTTTATCCCAACAGTCTTCGCAAAGTAGCTTACTTAGTCAGGATTCAGCATCGCCTTTTTCATCACCATCTTCAGCGGGCTGGGACGACGAAGATGAACCCCTACTTGGAGCACCTATCATAGCCAGAAAAACGCGAGAAGAGGTGGAGGAGACTGAGATAAACGCACGATATGATGCCGTGATTAAAGACTAGCTGGATTTGGAGCCGGAATGACTGGAGATCGCACAGCACCAGAATCCTGACATCACGAAGGAGGAGTTGTCGAAGGAGATGTCGATTGACTCGCAAAACAGCATGTGCTGGGTGCAACTGGGTTTATACAAGCACATTGACGTCTTGAAGTGGTTCCGTGACGAAGGCAAGCTGCAGCTCCCCTCGATCGCTTTACTCGCTCGCATCCATCTCGGCAAAATCTCTTCGTCAGCGTTCCAAGAGCGGGTATTTTCGACGGGAGGGATAGTAATGGCCCCCTGAGAACCAGTAAAGATAGTAGGAGAGCGGAGAGGCAGCTTCTACTGCGGCACAACAGGGTTGAGCTCGTAAGATTGAAGCACGACGCGCGCAAAGCGACCGCGACGAAACGCGAATATATACAAAAGTAGTAATCGGAGTATTACACTAGTATTACTAATATTACTACTGCTTTGTGAAATCGATACTACTTTCAGTATTTTTCTCTCGATCAAGGCCCAATAGTAGAGGTAATACTACTACCAAGTTTTTTTGG